GTCTCGTTAGCTAAGTACCTAAGGAACTCAATGTTTTGTGTTCTTTTTAATTTTTCTTGCAACTTTGCTTTATTAATTATTATTCGTCATAAAGAGTTGAGTAGAAGCATTTATTATCCGACTATATAAATCCGCATCCGATCTGCTTCCGCTCCGAATCCGTACCATCTCTGATATCCGAAACAATCCGCATCCACATCCGTATCCGCCCAATATCCGCTCCGCTCCAAATTCGCAAAAATAAAATGGATTAGGATGTGGGAAAGGCATTATCCGCACCGCACCGCACCGTTTTCATCCCTAGTGTTGGCGGTCCTCTCGTCTGGTTGATGTCACCTGCTTGGTTGCTTTCGCTCCCCAACGCCTGTTTCTCTCCCGACTGAAGGTTGCGGGAGCTCAGATATGGGCTGAGTAAGTTCGCAGTTTTTTTGTTCTGGAGCCTCTGATTTGTTGCTCTCTTTTAGTTTCTCTGTTGCATGTTTGAATCGTTGTAGGGTTTAGTCACGTGCTGGTCGAATGGATGTAGCGGTGTGCTTGTAAGATGCAGAGGAGATGATATTCTCTTGTTAGTGTAGGTGCATCATGTTAGTGTTGTAGTATTTTCTTATGTTCCTTCATTTTTAGTTTTTTAGTGCAATTGTGTCTGGTTTGTTAGTCTCATTTATGGATTTTTTTCGTCGCCTTCTGTAGTAGTGTTTTGGGTGTTTTTGTTACTCTCTGATTGTGTAATTCCAATGTGGAGGTGAATTCATACTTTGCTTTGGTTCTAGTTATGTTAGATGACATATCGGGTGTACTCTTTTTTAGATTTTTAATATAATTATGGTTTGAAAAAAAAAATCATATGCAATTCTAATTTTCAATAGTACTTTATTATTATTATTATTAAAAAAGCCACATTTTTTGAAGGATTTCAATTGGACAGACGACCATGAAAAAAAAAAAAACCCACAATAGTCGTAGAAAAGATTAATATTTGGGCCGGCTCACCAAAATTGGGCCGAACTTCAATACACAACAAACTCAGTAAAGAAAAATGAAGAAGAATTTTTCCATCAATTTTATTTCCTCCACTCAATTCTTCTCTGCGCGTGTCCAAGCTCGTCGCCATGGCGCCGCCTCCTGGACCGTACTCCGGCACCAGCAGCCTCGCATTGGTAGCCTTCTTCTTTAATTTTGGGATTTTTCACTCATCATTGATTTTAATTTTAGCATATATTATGTGTGGGTATATATATATTTGCTTGAGATTTTTGTTTTCTTGTGAATTTGAACAGGTTGCTAGGGTTTCTGCATTTTCATTCGGACTCGTCTACGGAAGCTTAAAGCTTAAGATTCTTAAGGTAATTCTCGGAAATTTGTGTAGATATTGATACAAACTGAATTGAGCTTTACTTGGTATGTTGAAAAGGGAGTGTGGATTTTTTATAGTTTGTTTTGATTGGTTCTCAATGGTTTTCGGTATTCACTAATGTTTGGATCTCGCTTATTGTGGCGATGGCTTTAGCTTATAGTTCAAAAATCGAAACCAATCTAAGAGCTTTTCGAGTAAATTGTGGCTGAAATTTGTTCCGCTGATTATTTTTCTGAGTCATCTGTGATGATAATTTGAGGTGATTAGTGTGTTGTAAAATGAAAATCTTTGGAAAATAAACTTGGTAAAAGATTGAGGTTGTGTGTTTGGTAAGTATATAAGCTAGCTTATAGCTTATTCGATTAGCTTATAAGCTTCTTGTATTCAAATAAGCTTGGTTTGGTGGGACGAACTTTTTTAAAAAGCCCCGTTGGAATTTTTATTTCAGATAGGTTATCAGGCATCAGCTAATTTTACCAAACACTTTTATCGTATAAGCTCTAGCGTTTCAGCCATAAGTTAATCAATATAGTTTTATTGTATTTGTATCAAATCCAAGCATGGACTTTTCGAGGTGATCTCAGATTCTCAATATCACCACAAATGTCTATATCCATCAGAAAAGATCGATCCTTCCCAGACAAGGTTTATCACTGTTTAGATTGCATAGTGATGTAGGGATGGTAATAAACCTTATGTTGCAAGAAGTAATTTTTCATGTTTGTTATGATTGTAACTTGTAATATCTCTTAATAGAATGAAAGAATATGACCCGAGCCATCGTGTGAAAAAAGAAGTAAGTTTTGGCGCAAAACCTTTTTTCACATCAGTATCCATTTAATTGTATTCGCCGATAACAATCATGCAGTAACCAAAAACATTACAGAACTATTTGAATCTGAGATTGTAGAACTGGTGGTGTCCTTACATTTTTAAGCATGAAAACGTATGAACAATACCAATGAAGAAAGCTCTGTGATGTATGTTATGTCCAAATTAGTTAAGCATCTGCTTTTGCCAGTTGATTTAGCTAATGTAAGTTCTAATTTCTTTGCAAAGAACGTCCAAACTTTTTTTTTTTTTTTTTTTTTTT